AGAGTGACCCTAAATAAAATGAGGCTGCATTGATTGAGCCAATAGATTGCAGCATTTAGGCAGGGCTTTGGCAGCGTATTGGCTGTATGTTATTTAATACCCCCCTTAGGGTTTACCTTTGAGCCATTTAGCAAGGCTCTGCATTGGGGGAGAAAGTTTTCCACGTCGATAACGTGGCGTGGTTTCATTTCCGTTGCACGTGTTATTCTCAGGTAAAAGATTCACAGACAAATGACCATGATCATGCTAATATCCAGACATTTATGTTCCTCTTTGTCTCAGTTTCTAACTTTTTCTCTCTTTCTCTGACAACAAGGTGCGTAAGAGACAAAATCATCCCTCAGTTCTTTAGAGGAATACAAACACTACCCATTCCCTTGTGCTTCACACTCGGAAGCCCGGACACGCAAATTAGGGGTAGGGGAGCACCCTGAGGACCCGTATTCCCTGTATGACATTTGCTAAAGATACACAACTGTTCCCGCTTTGTCCAAAGCTTCTATCTTGCATGCTACAGGAACTGTTTAAGGTGCGTGTGTGATATCCAAATTGCAGCCAAGCAAACATGCAAAATTACAAGTTTTAGCTCCTTAATTACATATTATACCATCTTAAAGTAGCTCTAAACGATATTTTTTATACTACAAATGGGTCAGATCACTGTGTGTAATGTGAAAGGGGGTTGCTTGTAGTGACAAACCCACAAGGATTAATCACCTAACTCTGCAGTTTCACCTCGGCTTTGTGGAGCTTTTTAAGTCTCTTCAAGCTCATTGTTTCATCAACCTCATTTTCAGCAGCTGCAGACAAAAGAAGAATCTTTAAAAAAAAAAAAAAACCATTGTACACGACCTGCCCAGCATCAAACAGCAGACAAAGACAAAGTTATAGAGCATTTAGCTGTGAAAGAGCTGTATATGTCTCTCAGGAGCTGAATGAGAGTGAATACTGGACTGTTGCTCCTTGCCAACACGTTCACCATATTGACTTTAAGAGGAGATAATGTGTCATGTGACATTTTTGCTGAATGTTTTTGAATCAGTGCAATAAAGTATATTTTTGGATGTTTTATTTTTTTCAAATTGCTCCAGGCAGCCGCTCATTTACATTCCTTTCCTTTCTGTATGGAGTGAGAATCAGCAGGCAGAGCGAGTGTTATCTTGTCATTTTCATTAACGGAGACTAAGCACAGCTTCATCTAAAAGGTAACAACAACAACAACAACAACAACAATGCAAGTTTGGCAAAAACAATTAATGTTCACTGTGATGGATCGCAGTTTCAAGTTTCAAGATGCCAGTACAAGAATTTCATATCTGACAATGGATGCCAGAAACAGTAGAAAAACACATATTAAAAGTCCCCTATTGTATAATGAGAGATGTCCATGTCTTTTTTGATTATAAAGCAGGTCTAGACTCTATGTTAATACATATGAAATATGTCAAGTAACATCAAAGCGCTCAGTCCACAGAGAAATGCCTGTATTCAGAAACTGAGCCTTAAAACGAGCCGTCAGGACTTCTGTAACTATGTGATGTCACAACAAAGCAGTCACCACCCTCAGCCATGCCCCAAGCCCCGCCCTCTGAGTGTTTACCGGAAATCTGCTATATTTTTATTGTATTCTGACACAGTGAGCCAATCAGAAAAGAGGCTCTGAGCCTCCCTTCTGATTGGCTCACTGACCTGTTGTTGCCAGAGAAAAGCCTGAGAGAGGAGATGTAAAACTACATTGAAATGGTTTTTGATAATCAAAACCACAAATACTGCATTTCTTCTTATGGATATAAACACCAGAGAAATGTAAAATATGGGACCTTTAAGTTGACTTTTTGTCAACTTTATTATCTTAATGTGTAGTTGTTGTGAGTTTGTTTACTTTCTCAGAAGGTGCAGAACTTAAGTTGCAGCCCTCTGACTTTTGCCCTCTCTTCTTTCAGTCACCTACCGACTGGCCTGGGGACAGTTTGTGCGTGTGTGTGGGTGTGTGGGTGGATGTGTGACTGAGTGGGACACTATTGAGCTGAATGATTATAGTGGAAAGCCTCAGGTTATCATTAGCTCTCAGAGGATCAAACATCAGAGTCATCAAGTCAACAGCGGAGCGGAGAGATGCGGGCCACAATTAGATATTTGTTTTTCCACTGGAAAAGTAGAATTTAAGGAAGGAAAGAAATGAGGACCTTTTTTATTTATGGTGCGAAGATGGTGATCAAAAAGCGACTGAGGGATTCACAACATGCCTCAAAACACTTGTGTGCAAGAACACGAACCCTGACTCGTGTATTTGAATTCCCTCACAAAAGGCATTAGTGGCCCCGTCAATGGGCTCCCTCACACAATGGGGACCAACACCACACAAGAGGAACATTCTCTCATCACCAGCTTAGAGGTTCTGCAGACAGCTTTGATTGTCTCGCCCAGGCCTGTAATGAGATAGCTTGCTTGCTTGACGTCTCCATGAGAACATGTGCATTTCCACACATGACTATTAACCCAGCAGCCTCAGGAGCTGGTCCGGCTGCAGTCACTGCTTATTGCCACAGCTGAATAAATGAAAGAAAGGGGTTCAATTTCTGGGGCAAGCCCAGGCAATGTGATTGTTTTCACCTCTGCATTTCCTGAAGGACTATTTTTAAAGGATAATTCCAGTTTTACATAACTATTTTCGTAGTTTTTGTACACTGCACAACAACTTCTGTAAAACAGCGCAACAGGGAAAGCCGTCACGTGGTCAGAAAGACTGAAACTTAACCTGAAGGCACCCAAAATGATGCACAGGAAAACATACGACTACGGCAAGTAAGAGAGGTCAAAAACTGAACCAGGAAGTGAGTCTGTAAACTGTGTCTTCTTCGGTCCTGGAGGAAACGAGAACATGAGAGTGAGATAATAAGGGAAGGTTTAACGAAAGATGCTATTAGAATGCATTCTGGGAGGTGGAGGATCCAGTGTTATTGGAGCTTGAGACATATTAGAAACTAGACTCATCTCCATAGTGTCACTGTAGAGCCAGAATCATTGTGTGACTGCCTGTGTCTGACTTCTTTTAGCCCTTCCACCATGCTCCTGGGTCACTTACTGCCAAGAGGAATGGTGGTCACAGTTGTAAAAAATAAGGCACAAGCTTCAATACACCTGAATCGTCCTATAAAAGTCGCATTGTTAGGTTTTCCAGCTCCAACAAATTCTGCACGATGATGTTTCAAACTGGATGTAATGAGGGATGTTGCCTTGACAGGCCTCTCTCCTGGCATTCCTCCCCTCCTCTTTTCTTCTATTCCTCTCTTTTATCCTGTCCTCCCTTTTCTGTGGAGGCCCTCTGGACCCCATCAAGGCTCACTCTGTTCATCCCACATGTGAGGGGTCAGTGCGTACCCCACAAGAATAAACCAGCCACTCAATGTGAGGATCTTTGTGTATGTCCTCATCCCCCTACCCTCTTTCTCTCTTTCTCTCTCACTTTACTTGTGCCCTATAGATGAGAATCGGCTCCATTCACGGCGCTTCCCTCCCCCCTGGAGCGGACTTCTCAGGGCCCTAACAGCGCAATTCTATGCCTTATTGCTTCGGCTCCTCCATGGAGAACAGTCTCGTCAAAGCATTTGTGAAGACACGGACGGAAATGAACTGGCTTTGTGCTTAGTCTTGACATATAGGCGAGATCACGTGGTGAAGTCTGTGGGGCAAGCGTTTAACAAGAGAAAAGGGCAGAATGTGTAAAATGTCTCTTAAAGGCCTCCAAGTGGCCATCTTGGAAGGAAAATGCCAGGACCTATTTAGAAATGAAGCAGTGTTATGAGTTTGGCCCTGCTGGCTGTCATCCAGCTTAATCCACATTGTGTTCTGACTTCCTACGGTACCCAAAGCTGGTTTCTCAAGCTCATCTCCACCTCATGTTTAATCTCCCCCTGCTCTTTCATTAGGACCACACCATGTGTTGATTCTAAAGAAATGAAGCGGACACCTCATTTCGAGCAAGAATGAGCCGGAGAAAGCTTTTGTCCACGGCAGGAATGCCCATAAGACAGAGAGGAACACTGTTTGGTCTGACTTGGGTTGCTATACCAGGGCTGGAGAAAGCCATGGCAACGAAAGCAGAAGGTCTGCCGGACCACATAGCGCTGATACAATACGGCTTCTCGGGGTTTGTCATTCCAGTCAGGCCTGACCCAAATTACGACATCCTGGGAAAAAGTGGCCCACTTCAACCGGCACACATGCACAGACATTCTTAATTGGGCTCGCATATATTTGGCTGATAGCGATAATAAACAAAACATATGGATGTTTGAAGTCTAATCACTGAGGAGAAAGGCCCTGTTAATGATTTAACACCACAGTCCATAGCCAATGGCTGCTGGATTATTGGGACTTTCCAATTGTTTACCCAATATGTCTACAAGCTACTTTTCCATCTGCAGCTATAATTGTCAGCATTTCAAGCTTAATAGTCTTTTGTGTTTTTCATATGTTTATTATCTCCTATCAACAGCCCCGGGGAGAAATCTGCTTAAAATGGGAAAAGTAACAAAGAAGCGATTAGGACCATGTCTACAGAAGCTTTACTTTCACTGTTTCATATTTTACCAAAAGGCAAAATAGTTGCAAAAATGCACAAATACAAAACATTGTGTTTATCACCAGAGAAACTTACATTTTTTTTTTAATTTACTTTTTTTAATCGCAACTTTACCCAAAGTTTTTTTTTTTTTTTTTTTTTTTTAAAGCAATGTTAACACAACAGGGGTTGATATCGGCGGTCCTGGCAGTCATACACACAAGATACACACTCAAAAGAACACACACACTAAAAATGGCCTTCGTGCTTGTACCATCCATCCCACTGAGTCTTTTCTGCGCAGAATACAGTTCAAATCCAAACTTTTCTGCTTGCCTGGCTGCTCAAGTAACCACCTCATAATCACATCACACCTACCCCACGAAAGCTATGCATCAGTAAGTGTGCACCCAGAAAAAAAAAGAAATCCACTTACTTTATTTTGGAGGTCTGGTAGTTGTAAATCAGAGCTTGAAGAAGTAGTTTCTCTAGGTTCTTTTCATCTGCACCTCTGCCCCGCTGCCCTGCCTCTCCAATACTATTTCTCTTTGTGGGCTGAGCATACGATAGCTGTGTAGTCTTTTTTTTTTTTTTTTTTTTTTTTTTTTTTTTTTTCTTCTTTTTCTTTTTTTTTTTTGTGTGTGTGTTGCATGGGGTGAGGGGAGGGTGGTGGGGTGGGTGTTGAATGCCGGGTTTCCTGACTCGTGATCAGGAGCTCATTACCCCCAAGGTCACTCCAGGGACGCCCCTGCCTGGTACTCACTGAGACACCAGAGAGAAGATGTGAGATGGAGGATGGAGGGTGTGAGAGAAAAGGGAGAGAGCAGTTAAGAGCTAAAGTGCCTGGGAGATCCGTGGGGACGGAGGGAGGAAGTGCTATGAGAGAGAGAGAGAGAGAGAGAGAGAACGGAGACGGATGAGATACATATAAACAGAGAGGGAAGCGAGACAGTGAGAGGAACTGATCCAAATGCCAACAGAGAGGCGGATATATTCAGGAGAAGCGAGCAAACACAACAACAAAATCCTGACTGTTTGAGCCGTGGATGAGCCAACAGAGTGAACAAGCTCGCAACTGCAGCCCAGTCAAACCACACGGAGTTATATAAAAAAAAAAATATATCATGTTGATCCATGGAAAAGTGAGTCCAACCACAACAATCAATAAAATATTGACAAACACCAGCTGGGCTCTGGATTTGTTTTTTCAGCTTTAATATGGACGAGCGCTGAAAGAAACACGGTTACAGTGTCGTACGAGTGACATCTGATTACGTTGCCTTTTTGTCTCACTTTTTATATGTTGGGGCTTTTTCTGGGCAGGTTTTGTGGTTGTTCTCATGTCTCTCTTTAAAAAAAAAAAAAAAAAAAAATCTTAAACTCAACGAAGCTGCCTGAATGAATGAAGCTACAAAATCTTGTGCATTTTATCGTGATTTAAACCACAATATTCACCGTTTTCTATTCACGTGTTAAAAGCAGGAGAAGATGTGGAGGCCTTGGAGTTGTTTTAAAGGCCCTTTTGTCATGATGTAACTATGTAGTAATGTAACTATATTTACTTCTGCTGATGTGTAATTAATAAGGTTGTGCAAGCTTAATTATTTTTTTCAATGTGTAATTAGTTATTGATTACATTTTTTTTTCAAGTAACTTGCCCAACACTGATTTTCTGTTCGACTAATGGAATAATCGGCTAATTATTTCAGCGCTAAACAAAACACCACAGTCCGACTTGATTAAAAAGTCCTGCTAATTTATCACCAGAAAACAAGTCGACAAGGTGCATGATTTTAGGAACTTTCACAATTAAAAATGAAGGCTGCTTCTAATAGTGAAACCAGTATAGATAAAAACCAGTTTGCGCTAATTAGTCACTCATTCTCTCATATTTCTGGTTGGATCTATTTTATCTCTCACTTGTGGCCAGATCTCCTTTCAGAGAGAGTGTGTTAATAAGTTGTGGATATTTCTCGGGGTGTTTTGGAACGGCAGATGGCTGGAGATGACCCCACAGAGCCGGCCCTGGCACTCTGCCGCAGCTGGACAAGCCTGGATTGACAGATTACAGCACACACAATCAATAAAGTGTACCATTAGCTCTGTCCACAAAGCCTGTGCGCGATACTGATGTCAGGCCGCCTCTGTAAACTCTCCATAGTCCACACACAGAGAAATGGCCTCATATTTCACGTTATGAGGCTGTCGTTCCTGGCTTGGTGTTATTGATTGAGTGTCTGGCATGGATTCATTCTGTACTAGAAAAAAAATACCTCACAGCCCATAATTATCAGATAACCCATTTCAGTGCCAGGGTCCGCTGTTAAGCCGCTATTCAGACTCAATCACAATGTCTTTATAATGCACCATTTCAGTACTTTAATGGTTATTTATAGGTGGCAGCAGACCCAGAGACCACTGTGATGGAGGCTCAACATTATCAACTGAAAAGAGAGGGCCCAAATTTTGAATTAGTCATCAATGGTAAACTTTGTTCAAGTCGAATCTTGAGTCTTTTCCAACCAAGTCAAAGTCACGAGTCTTTGGGACGGACGTGAATCAGGAGGTAGAGCGGGTTTGTCGGCTAATTGGAAGGTCGCCGGTTTGATTCCCGGCTCCTCCTCCCTTTGGCAAGATACTGAACCCCAAACTGCCCCCGATGTTTCACTGGTGTGTGAATGGTAGAAAAGCGCTATATGGGTATATGTGGCACTTTGAGTCGCAGATAAGACTAGAAAAGTGCAATATAAATGGAGTCCATTCGTAAGCAAATTGTAGACGCTGCGTTTCAATCTGATATTAGATACTGATAACTAAAAGTTATCAGTATCTAATATTTCCACTGCCAGTCTGACCCATGTCCAAGTCTCAAATCTAAAAAAAAATCCACTGTAGCTACTTTCTGGTTGATATTAAAAGGGGTGAAGAGGTGAGATGAGTTCGAGTAAAGTTCGTAAAGGTAAGGATGAGTAAATAAACGCTTGTTTTTTTAAGTCATCGCAGAGGGGCCAAGTGGAAAAAATGCCAAAATTGGTGAGCAATAGGCCAGCAGCAAAATAATTGATTAGTTAGTAAGGAGCCTTGGGGCTGTTTGGTGCATCTGCCCCTGAAAGATATGTCCTTATCTAAAGTCTAAATTAAAGAAGAAGCTAGAATTAAAGGCATTGATTTTTTTTTTTTTTTTAGACAAGATCAAGCAGATGAACAAAGTTGAGAGATGTTAAGGATCACTTCAGTGGCCAAATGACATCAAGAAGCAATATGTTTTCAGAACGTCTACAAATAGGCGGTGAAGGTCGTCCTTTATTCTGACGACCCATTGTTCACTCGTGCTGCCAAACCCTTCACATATTGTGGTGGAGCTGCCTCAGTGACGGAGCTGTCAGTGCAGCGCTCCACATGTTCAGCATCATGTTGCACTGTTGGGGCTTTCAGCATCAGCATCAGCCCCAGCGATGGCCGGTAATTAGTATGACTCATACCCCCCCGCTGATAACGATATACCATTCCACTGCTGCCGTCTCATATTCAACTCATTAATAATACATTTCATCCATTTGCACCCCCTCCTCAGCGCGCCCCTCCCACCCTAAGTGTGCGATATGCTTTAGCGGCATCCACAAGGAGCTCCTCCAATGATATCATTTCCCTCATTTGATTAAATGAGATATGACAAACGATGGAAAAAGAAAAGATCCTCTGTTTTGCCGAAAGCACAAAGGGAGCTCCAAAGACAGTTTGCACAGATATGAAGGAGTTTGAGTGAAATTTGATCTTTATATCAAATCCAACAGCCCCCCTTGTTATTTTTACTCACTTTAAACCAGCCCCTGTCACTGTGAGCCTGAACAGAGCCCGGGATGGAGCCGCTGTTAAGCCCCACTAACCCTCTTCGTTGAGTATATGTCCAGCGGCAGAAGAAGACGGCAGCGACTGGGCCTGTCTGCGGTGAGAGTCTGATGAAACCGAATGAAATCAGCCTGTCGAAGTCAGCCACAGCATTTCTTTCTGTCTTTTTTGTGTGTGTATGTGTGTGTGTGCGTGTAACCACAGCTCCAATGGCTCTGCTCCTCCATCCCGTCGTTCCCTTACACAAACACCACAAAGTATCCGCACACAGATGAGAGCGACAGGAAATGGCAGAAGAGTCATTTTTCCACTTTTTTTTTTTTCAAAGCAAGTATTCAATTTGAGCAACATGTCTGGAAGGAAATGGAGATTGAATTTATGGCTGTAAGAAAAGGAGAGAAAATTGCTGTGTCTCAGAACATCCTCTCAAATCAGTCAAAAGCTGTTTAGATATAAGATTATCATACACACGTAGACGATGCACCTATAATAACATATGCCGGAGTCAGGGGGCAGATATGTATGTTTCTTCATTGCCATACTCCACACACTCCATGCATCATATGGAGAAACTACATGAGGACAAAAGGCAGGAACAAAATGTCTTGACTGTGTGATTCACAGGATGTACCCTGCTAGGCTGCAAGTCATACCAGACACAGGACAGAAAACACACACACACACACACACACACACACTCACACTGAACATCTGTGAGGCCATGGCTGCCATTTAAATCCGCATTTAGCTAAATACAGTATCCAGCTGTCTGTAGCACACCTAATGAAACAAGTCAAGCCAAGTTTATTCATATCGACCTTAATCACAAGTTTGTCTCAGAGAGACTTTGCAGCACGCGACACCTTGTATCCTCACACTCCTGGTGCCGATAAAGCGAATGTGCCACTAATAAAAGCTTATGAGGAAAAGTGGAGAGTGAGAGACGTGAACAACAGAGGACGGGCAGATATTCGCAGTACGGGGGCTGCAAGTGATGAATAGAGAGAAGTAACAGTGGAGAGAAAATGGAACCAGTACCTGGAAAGTAGCAAGGCTGGAAAGTAATACAGGAAAACCAACAGCAAGTTAGTTATTGCGAAAGTTACACAGCGAGGATCAGAATGACAATAATTCCTGTTGTGAGTCCCATGTCGCTAAACTAACCAACCAGAAGCTAGAAGGACTTAGACTGAGGTAAATAAGAGGAAAACCACAGCGATGGATTCAGGAGGTTATTATAAAGATGCAGATGTAAATATTGAAACTATTGAAATATGAAATAATAATTGTGTAAACATATATATGAAAATAACCAACTGTGTGGACACAACCGTCATGAAACAGGAGTGGATGGTGCTGGCCACTTTGGGGGCGGAGCAACAAGCTTTAAAACACAACACCGGCGTATCATCAAGGTCAGATGTCAGTCACAAAGTTGGTTCAACGTGTTGGTAAATAAATGTATACATCTTGCAAACAAGGAGCAACATTAGCATTCAACATTAGCATTCATCTGGAAGCCAGTAACCCAATAATTACTCTGTTTTTTTGGACCTCCACCAACTACTGAGGGAAACGTGTGGCTCTTTAGCTGCTATGCTAATGTTGCCTGTTAGCCATTTAATGCCATGCGAAACAGCTTACAGCGGGTTTATTAGAAAAAAAGTTCAATCAGATTCACATTTATTGCCAGGTAGTTTTTA